GAATTACAAATTCCATGAAAAGTAACTATGGGAGCCCTGAAATCACTCCTTCTCTCTCGGCTCAGGCCACTCCGACCTCTGGGGTGGGGTGGGGGGGTGAGGGGGGAAAGGAGTGCTTTTGCTTGTACTTAATGAACTACCCTTTGCTTTCACTGTTGGTGCGTTTCATTCAATTCTGTCCCGGAAACACTGAGAACCTGGACATCACCGAAACCATCCCACAACACTGGCAACTAGATAAGTAAGTTCATTTAGTATACAGTCCCCAAATATTCATAGTGCAACAAGGGCCAACTGAAACATAATCCAATTAAAAAAAAACCATTTATTCAGCGTCATGATCAGACTATTACATTTAGCAATCAACAGCATGGGTCCAAAAAAAAAAAATCTTCATTAAAGCCCTTTGTTGGAATGCTTTACACTTTCCACAGAACAGAAACTAAAATAACCTGTTATACAATTAATCATAAATACTGTCCTAGTAATTTTGCCCATACACATGAGTACTGTCTAAAACACGTCTTCTTTGTAGCAGGTAGGCCCTGCCACCACTGTGCTTGGTTGAATTCACACATCTGTTGTAACCTGTAGCTTCCCTGTCACTTCTCTGGCTCTCCTCTCCTGCTAAGCTTTGTTTCCTGGCTGTTAATTAAAACCTTCTGCCACTGCCATAGCTAGTGCTGCTGCTGGAATCACCATAGTTACCTTGATTTCGTGGTTGGCAAAGTATTGGCCTCCACCTCCATAAGGGCCAGAGCTTCTGCCTCCAAAGTTGCCACCCTTCATGGGTCCAAAATTTGAAGACTGATTGTCGTAGTTGCCGAAATCATTGTAGCTTCCACCACCTCCAAATTGCTTCCATCATTACCAAATCCATTATAGCCATCCCCACTTCCACCGTATCCACCACCACCAAGGCTCCACCAAAGCTACCATGACCACTGAAGTTTCCACCACGACCAAAGTTGTCGACCAGAACCCCTTCGACCTCTAGGGCTGGAGGAAGCACTAGTCATTTCTTGTTTGGACAGGGCTTTCCTTACTTCACAGTTGTGGCCGTTCACAGAATGGTATTTCTGAATGACAATCTTATCTACAGTCATAATCATCAAAGGTCACAAAAGCAAAGCCCCTCTTTTTGCCACTGCCTCGGTCAATCATGATTTCAATCACTTTTATTTTACCATACTGTTCAAAATAATCTCTTAGGTGATGTTCTTCAGTGTCTTCTTTAATGCCACCAACAAATATCTTTTTCACAGTGAAGTGGGCACTCTTGAGACAATCCTCTTCGGTTCCACAATTCTTCTATCCGTCTTGTGTGGCCTTGCATTCATGGCTGCATTTACCTTCTCCTCAGTGGCATATGTGACAAACCCAAAGCCCCTGGAGCACTTGGTGTTTGAGAGGTTTTTTGTTTTCGCTATAGGGCGCATGCGCTCGCCAGACAGACAGAGAGAGACATAGAGACAGAAAGCGAGAAATCACCCTCCAGGGGGGATGGTCACTCCGCAATCCCTTCTCCTCCATTCTCCTCTTGGGATCTTGGACACGCACACACACGCGCCCGGCGTGAGTTTTAAGCCACTGGGTCTGGGATGTGAACCATGATCGACTACATGGGAGTCCAGTGACATAGCCATTACGCCAACTGTTGGTTCCCAACGCTTGGTGTTTGGATCTCGCATTACCACGCAGTCTGTGAGCATTTCCCATTGCTCAAAATGGCTCCTCAGGCTCTCATCGGTTGTTTCAAAGCTCAACACTCCAATAAAGAGTTTCCGCAGCTGTTCTGGCTCTTTGGGAGACTCCGACTTAGACATGACGGCAGTGGAAAGTGAGAGTTCAACGATCCTTCCTTGGCGGCGTCCACAGGCGGAAAGCACATAATCCAATTTTTAAATCTTAATGAATAAAACAAGATAGTTAACACCATAGGAAAATCCATGTTTTTACATGGAAATATTTTTTAGAGGTTTGAGATGTATGTTTAGCCCCTTGCTTTTCAAAGTATGGTTCCTGGACCAACAATATTACATCATCCCAGAACTTTGTTAAGAAATGAAACTTAGGGACCAGCAGGTGGTGTAGTGGTTACCAACTGTCCTTAGACTCCCACAAGGCTGCCTGCACTTCAAGTCCCAGACCTGGTGTCTAGAAATTCACGCCATGCATGCTAAGATCCCAGGAGAAGAATGGAGAAGGGACTGTGGTGTAGCCATCCCCTTTTGGGGGAAGAGTGATTTCTCATTTTCCCTCTCATTGTCTCTGTCTCTCCCTCTCTTTCTCTGGCAGGCACACGCCCTAAGGCAAAAACCTCTTTAAAAAAAGAAGAAGAAATAAAACTTAAGAACCTTATTTCAGACTTACAGAATCACCATTCTTTTTTTTTTTTTTTGGGGGGGGAGGGTTTCTACAGGGCACATGTGCTCCCTGGAGAGAGACAGAAAGAGGGAAAGTGAGCAATTACCCCTGAGGGAGAGACAGAAAGCGAGAAATCACCCTCCAGGGGGGATGGTCACTCCGCAATCCCTTCTCCTCCATTCTCCTCTTGGGATCTTGGACACGCACACACACGCGCCCGGCGTGAGTTTTAAGCCACTGGGTCTGGGATGTGAACCATGATCGACTACATGGGAGTCCAGTGACATAGCCATTACGCCAACTGTTGGTTCCCAACGCTTGGTGTTTGGATCTCGCATTACCACGCAGTCTGTGAGCATTTCCCATTGCTCAAAATGGCTCCTCAGGCTCTCATCGGTTGTTTCAAAGCTCAACACTCCAATAAAGAGTTTCCGCAGCTGTTCTGGCTCTTTGGGAGACTCCGACTTAGACATGACGGCAGTGGAAAGTGAGAGTTCAACGATCCTTCCTTGGCGGCGTCCACAGGCGGAAAGCACATAATCCAATTTTTAAATCTTAATGAATAAAACAAGATAGTTAACACCATAGGAAAATCCATGTTTTTACATGGAAATATTTTTTAGAGGTTTGAGATGTATGTTTAGCCCCTTGCTATTCAAAGTATGGTTCCTGGACCAACAATATTACATCATCCCAGAACTTTGTTAAGAAATGAAACTTAGGGACCAGCAGGTGGTGTAGTGGTTACCAACTGTCCTTAGACTCCCCCAAGGCTGCCTGCACTTCAAGTCCCAGACCTGGTGTCTAGAAATTCACGCCATGCATGCTAAGATCCCAGGAGAAGAATGGAGAAGGGACTGTGGTGTAGCCATCCCCTTTTGGGGGAAGAGTGATTTCTCATTTTCCCTCTCATTGTCTCTGTCTCTCCCTCTCTTTCTCTGGCAGGCACACGCCCTAAGGCAAAAACCTCTTTAAAAAAAGAAGAAGAAATAAAACTTAAGAACCTTATTTCAGACTTACAGAATCCCCATTCTTTTTTTTTTTTGGGGGGGGGAGGGTTTCTACAGGGCACATGTGCTCCCTGGAGAGAGACAGAAAGAGGGAAAGTGAGCAATTACCCCTGAGGGCGGATGGCTGTGCCACAATCCCTTCTCCATTTTCCTTCTGAGATTTTGGGCAAACATGCACACACACTCTGCATGATTTTCAAGTTGCTGGGTCTGGGACTTGAACCACCGGGCCACAGTGGACCATGTGGAAGCCCACTGCCTTAAGCACCACTGCCAGCCCCCAGATCTGCATCTTAACAACATCCCCAGGTGATTCCTGTGCATATGAACGTTGGAGAAGCTCAGTTTAGAATTCTAGCTTCCCCCATTTACTGCAAAATTGTAGATGCATCATTTATTCTCCTGATTTTAGTTTTCCCAGCTGTAAAGGTGGAGAGAGGGATGTATATTAATTTACATATTCATTCATTCGATAATTATTGATGAAATATTCATTGCAACGGAAGTAGAGCAATCAATAGGACAAATCAGCTTTCCAGTTTCCTTCCAGCTCTAAAGTTTTAGATTTCATTAATTCGATTTATTGACAGATAGAATTTCATTTTTCTCTGGCCTTTCTCCCACCGTCTCACGAGAGTAGATACAGTATCAAGCAACTTTGCAATGAAAGGCAAGTGCCAGAGAAAGTGAGCAGGGGAAAAAATCCCTGGAGATCAGAAACCTTCTTTAAAAACTGGAGTAAGAGAATGTGCATGTATATTAAACACCCACTGCGACGGCTGACAGCTTGCTACAAATCCCCATTATAAGGATTCTGAGGTTCTTTGGCTTGACTCACAATTGCTCCACAAATCACTGGGAAATTTCACAGTATTTTAGAAACAGTGAGGTTCTGACAGCATGTCAGAATCTACTGTTATGTTTTTTGAGTTATATCTCTAGCAATAACCCATGGGACATGCTAGGAAAAGTGACATCTATAATTATAAAGCCAAGCCTTGCTGATATTTGCCACCAGCTATAGGGCTAGAAACACTTTTATCTTTTAAGTTCCATTCACAGTCCCTTAGGCAGGAAAAAAGAAAATGGAGAGGAAGATAAAGAGGGATAAAAAGAAGGAAAAACAAGGAGAAAGAGGCAAGTACAACACAATCCTGACTAACCGTGTTCCTGTCAAAGGCACCGACAACCTCAGGCTGCCTGCTTTTGGTCCAGTAAAGGAAAAGCTGGGGAAAAGTTGCGATGGCATAACGTCACAGGACTCCCGACAAGTCGACTGCAGTTCGAGTCCTGGACCCAGTGGCTTAAACCTCACACTGAGCATGTGTGTGTGCGTGTGTGCCCAAAATCCTGAAAGAAGAATGGAGAAGAGGGGATTGCGGTGTGACCCTCTTTCCTGGAGGTGATTTCTCACTTTCTGTCTCTTTCTATCTCTCTGGCAAGCAAATGTACCCTATAGCAAAAATCTCTCCCCCCCAAAATAAATAAAATAGGAAAAGCTAAAGCCATTGCTTTAAAATCTCATTTCCTTCCCTCAGAGGTTAAATTTCCAAAGCAACTCTTTTTCAAAGAAGGAAAACTTGATTTGCAAGACAAGATACTTTGTTGATTTTACAAAATTGCTCCTTTATTGACCCTTGAAAATAGTATTCCTCTTCTTTGTCCGTAGGAGAAACAGAGTGTAGTAACATCTTCAGTCCTGTAAATTTCCATCAGTATGTTTAAACAACACAATTTGGATGATCGTCAGCAGAGAAATGTTGATAACCACTGTGTATTGGTACTTTTATGTCTTAATGAGCGCCTGACACATACTAATATCAAAAAACATATCAATAAATATTCGTTAAATTAATAAATGATCGTGTTCAGAAAATACCATTGAGCCCCCATCTGTCAAAGACTCAGCAGTTGGTTATATGACCAGTCACCACCTACTCCTTCAGCAAGGCTGCTCTAATGAAAAGGCATCACGTTGATTTATATCCTTTAGTTCCAGTTGGGCTCTGAGATTGCTCAGTATTATGGTCTTTTAGGAGGCAAGATTGTTTAAAAAAAAAAATCACAGTGCTGGGGGCCAGCAGGTGGTATAGTGGTTAAGGCACTGAACCCCCACATGGCCAACCACAGTTTGAGTCCCAGACTCGGCAGCTTGAAACTCACACCAGGTACATGTGCATGTGTGCCCAAAATTCTGAGCGAACAGATGAGAAGAGATTGCGGTATGGCCAATGCCCCTGGGGTGGGGGGTGATTTCTTACTTTCTGTCTCTCTCTCTGGCAAGCACATGCACCCTATATTAAAAACTCTACTAAAGCAAAAAAGAAATACTGGGCAAAGCAAACACATAAAGACCAAATGTCTGTGTGACCGCAAAATTCTCTTGAACCAGACATTCAATAATGAGCTCAGTCTGTGAGTTTCAAATCATAACAAACAGGCAGTGCCTGAAGCTCAAAAGCTTGTGTGTGTGTGTGTGTGCACACACACGCGTGTGTGAGCAATGGCTTCTGAAGCACACGTTTACAAAAGTACATGCTTCTAAGAAGCTGGCTGAGTGTTTTATGTTCACTACATGCTCATTAGTAATTGCTCTGGTTTCTCTGCTTTACTTCTTTTTTTTTTTTCCCTCCCATCTTAAGGATGCAATTAAATCCTAGTTCCTGGAGGTTTATGCTTTCTGTCTCTCTCTCTGGCAAGCACATGCACCCTATATTAAAAACTCTACTAAAGCAAAAAAGAAATACTGGGCAAAGCAAACACATAAAGACCAAATGTCTGTGTGACCGCAAAATTCTCTTGAACCAGACATTCAATAATGAGCTCAGTCTGTGAGTTTCAAATCATAACAAACAGGCAGTGCCTGAAGCTCAAAAGCTTGTGTGTGTGTGTGTGTGTGTGCACACACACGCGTGTGTGAGCAATGGCTTCTGAAGCACACGTTTACAAAAGTACATGCTTCTAAGAAGCTGGCTGAGTGTTTTATGTTCACTACATGCTCATTAGTAATTGCTCTGGTTTCTCTGCTTTACTTCTTTTTTTTTTCCCTCCCATCTTAAGGATGCAATTAAATCCCAGTGACTGGTGGTTTCTGCAAGAGAGAAAGAGAGATAAACAACACCTGACCCCATGTGATCTGCTGCATGAATAGAGATCAGGGTTTCATTTTCTAGCAACTGGATTTGGGATGGTTGCTAAGGAGACTATTGGCATCTCGGTGTCCTAGGTGCCCTTTTGCTTGGGAAGAATTACAGCAGCTTTGCCTGTTACTTTCCCAGAGAGGAAACTTGAAAACTCATTAGGGAAGCCTACATTTTAAGATTCCGCTGGTCCCTTTAATGTTTTGAGTGTCTCTGGCCTTGGAGGTAACTCGTGCACACATCGCATCTCAATGAATGCACTTTCAGAAAGGACAATGCAGCTTTGTTAAAGCTAAAGAAGCCTGAGAGCTCAGGCTCTGGAGACCAAATTCTCTGCCCCAGCATGTGGCACAGGCCTGTTTTGTTATTTGTTGCTTTGTTTTGGTTTTTTAAAGCTGCCTACTCCCTAAAGGTCAGAGTCAGGAGACCAACATTAATTCCAGCCTCATTTCTAACAAGCTGTATGACCCTGCACAAGTATCCTCTTTGATCCTCAGTGTTTTTATCCTCAAAGTGGAAGAACAGTAATTCCTCATGATGTTGTTTGTGAGGATTAAAAAAGATGAGAACATACTGTCCAAAGTAAATTGCAAAGCCAGGTATGGTTTTCCAGGGGCACAGACTTGAAGGACTTTAGCCACCAGCATGGTTTTTAAGGAACCCACAGGATCAGTACTCCTAGAAAGAAGAAGAAAGCAGGATAAGTGGAGGAAAAGTTGAATTATGAATGGATGTAGTCCTAACAACAGCCTCAGCCAACCCGAGATGAGCTCTGAAGATAGAATGGCTATTTGGGGTGGTTTTGAATAGGACAAACTTCTTTCTTTCCCCTCTGAATGTCTGTGTCTCTCCGAAATTTATGTGTTGGAGTCCTGACCCCTATTGTCACGTTATTCGGGAGGAAATGAGACTTAGACGAGGTCATGAGAATAGGGTGCTCACAATGGAAATAGTGTCCTTATGAGAAGAGAAAGAGACTAGAGCTTTCTTATTTTCCACCACATGAGGACACACTGAGAAGGTGGGGCATCTACAAGTAACGGAAGAGGACCCACACCAAGACCTCAACTACGCTGCCACCCTGACCATGCACTTCAGCCTCCAGAACTGTGAGAAAAGAAATGTCTGTGGTTTAAGACACCCCATCTATGGTAGATTATAGCGTCCTGACAAAGATAGCCCCCATCAGTCAGTTATTGGATGTGCTCTGCCCGGGAAGGAACAGAACCTTTGCCCACATTGAGTAATCCTTGAAGAGGCTCATCTGGTGGAGGCTCTGTGGACAGTTCATCTCAGTGGAAATCACAAGCAATATTACTGCTTCTTAGTCCTCCCTAAAACGAAACCTCACTCGGGCCATTTTATGTCGGACCTAAAAACAAGCTCACCGAGACCAGCAGATGGCATAATGTACTTGTTGCTGGACTCCCATGTAGTTAACCACGGTTTAAGTCCTGGATCTGGCGGCTTAAAATTCGCACCAGGCATGTGTGCATAAGTCCTAAGAGAATGGAGGAGAAGCGATTGTGGTGTGGCCATTCCCCACAGGAGGGTATTTCTCTCTTTCTGTCTTTCTGTCTCTGTCTCTCCAGTGAGTGCACATGCCCTATAGTCAAAAAAAATCTAAACAAACAAACAAATAAAAACAAACAAACAAGCAAAAAAAAAAACACAAGTTCATGAGACTAGCAATTAGTATAATGGCTATGTCACTGGACTCCCATGTAGTCGACCGCGGTTCGTGTCCCGGCCCCGGTGGCTTAAAACTCATGTGGGGCGCGTGTGTGTGCGTGCCCAAGATCCCGAGAGGAGAATAGAGAAGAAGGGATTGCAGCGTGGCCATCCCCTCTGAGGGTTGATTTCTCGCTTTCTGTCTCTATGTCTCTGTCTCTCTGGTGAGTGCACGTGCCCTATAGCAAAAACCTCTCCAAAAAAAACCCAAAAAAACCCCACAAGCTCATTAGTGACTTCACATTTCACTGGTATTGTTTACCACTATTTGGCTCTAATCCCCTCTCTTTTTGCATAAATCCTTTTAAACAGAGGTTCTTAATTACCTTTTTCTCTGCAAGACATCCAGAGATACACACGTCTATGAGTCATTGTGGTTTTTTCCACTTGGGATTTTTTTCACCAGGTGAGAAGCGTGACCTGATGAACTCAGTCCTCTCAAAGCACTGTATGGTGGTGCAGAACAAGTGTTCGATCACATTCATTCCATGTGGACTTTAACTCGTACTTTCCAGTCTTGGGGGCAATTCACTGACAACAAAAACAAATGGATTTGAGTGGACAAGTACTGTGATACAATTTGCGCTTTAGAAATATTTCTCATGCAAGGGCCAGCAGATAGTGTGGTGGTTAAGGTGCTAGAGTCCCGCGTGGCTGACTGCAGTTAGAGTCCTATACCTGGTGACTTGCTTTTTTGCTTCCCCTCCCCCCCAGTCAAATAAAAAAATAATAATAAATAAAATTAAACAGATAAAATAATTTAAAAAAAAATAGTTCTCATACTAAAATGTGAACCAAGTGGGGAGAACTAGGAGCAAGGAGGTTATTGAATGACTTCCAGTTAAACATGGTACATTGATGGCATATTTATTTCCTCTTTTCCAAATTCCTATTAAAAGAATTCCACATGTAAAAACAAAACAAAACAAAACAAAAACGAAAAAAAGAACAAATAAAATATTTGAACAGTCAATAGAAGATAAAAGAATTCAGTACCATTTTGGAAGTCAGAAAATGCTCAGAAGAGTGGAAACTGACTTAATAGGGAGGAGAAAGGTATAGCCTAGGTGTGCTTAGCTGCAAGTCATGGAATATATAACAAGCAGAAACTTCAGTGGATTAGGACTTATTTTTCTCATGTCACCAGAGGCCCAAGGAAAGTGGCTGTAGGCATTGATTCAGCTACTCACCCAAGCCAGTTTCTGTCTTTCCACTCAGCCGTCCTTAGCTTGTTGACTTTTGGTCGACTCATGGTCACAAGTTGGTCACTCCAGCTCCAGATATCATATCTGCATTCAAGAACAGGTAAAAGGGAAGCTTCATGGCAGTCTGTCTCTTTTGACTGTGAAATCAAGCACATTTTGAAGTCTCTCTAGTAGACTATGTGCTTATATTTGAGTGAAAGTGGTTGTGTATTCTCATGGCTACAAGGGAGGTGAGGTGCCTGGCTATCTCAAAGGCAATTGATGTCGTGTGAGCAAGGAAGAAGGGGCCCTTGATACAGTACGTCTCTCACACCCCCGCCCCGTTCCCCCATCTTTTTTTCTTAAGCAAAAGGACAAAGGCTCTGGATCAGGGGATATCAGGGTTTGCAGAAGGTAGGACTAAAAATCCAGACGGAAAGGAGGATTTTGCATGTGGCACAGTGGCACCCCACGGAGATGGCCTAGCTCCCAGGATGCCAGCAGCCATGTATACCATCCAGGCAAGAACCTGAAGGGTCTCTTCCTAGAAAAAAGGAGACATCTCCAGAGAACAGACCTCCTGATACTCACTGCCTGTCTCTGCTCCTTTTCTAAGTCCTAAAGGTTAATGAAAAAGGAACTAGTGAGTGCTGTTTCTAGTGAAATAACTTGACCAAAGGCTTAACATTTTAGCAAACCAGATCAGATCCTGTTTTGTAACAAGCATTTGCATAATAGACTATAGCGATGGTGCTCTAGAGAAGACAAGAACTCTGAGAAAAACAAAACAAAACTACTATTGAAGAAATCAAACCCTTTCAGTCTGGTCAGGGTCAGACATTGTAATAGTCCTTGTATAATGGCCTATAATAAGGGACCTAACTGATTTTTTTTTTCTTTTGGAGAGATTTTCACTGTAGGGCGCGTGCGCTCGCCAGACAGACAGAGAGAGACATAGAGACAGAAAGCGAGAAATCACCCCCCAGGGGGGATGGTCACGCCGCAATCCCTTCTCCTCCATTCTCCTCTCAGGATCTTGGGCACGCACCCACACGCGCCCGGCGTGAGTTTTAAGCCACTGGGTCCGGGACACGAACCGCAGTCGACTACGTGGGAGTCCAGCGACATAGCCATTATGCTAACTGCTGGTTCCCCAGGGACCTAACTGATTTGAGAGAATTACCTTGCTAGAGCCTCCCAGGCATCTTGTCCTTGGCACAGAAACGTCAGTCATCAACCTGAATCCTCAATCTTAACCTGTCTGAAAATAAACATTGCTTTTCTGGGTCAAATAATTAAAATCATACCCCTAGTAAGAAATAAAAATAAGAAATAAGCCGTAGGTATAGAGAAGGATAAAGAAACTGATGAATAAATGTAGATATAATGAAACATATGTTTAAACCCATAATATTAATACTTTATCATCTGCTTATTATGAGTGGTCTGATCAATTTTGTAATTATTACAATATATAAATATTTTACTTACTTTTGAAGTAATTACTGCCTTTAAAGTACTCTTAGGCATTAGACTTGCAAAGAATTTAAATGACTAGATTTGCAATTAGTGTTTGAATGCTTCGAGAAAACTCATTTGTAAAATTATGACTTTGATTTATTAGCTGTATAAGTAGTTTGTATTTAACTTTTTTTTTTTTTTTTACTTTGGTCTACATTTATTTTATGCTGACTTTAATCCCGTGCCATAAGGTTTTGTTTCTTCAGTTTCTTCTGGGATATCTTTTTCTTCTGTGCAACTTCCTCTTCCAGTTTAGGAGCAATTTGCTCCTTTTTGATCAGGATCATCTCGGTGTGGCAGGAGGAGCTCACGTATGGGTTAATCCTCCCATGAGCTTTGTACATGCGACGGTGCATCTTGGGTGCCTTGTTCACCTGAAAGTGCTCCATGACCAGAGAATCTACCCTTAACCCCTTAAGTTCAGCATTAGTTTCTGCATTTTTAAGCATGTGCAGCAAAAATTCAGCACTCTTTTTGGGCCGCCGACCTTGTGTCCAGCCCCACTGCTTAGCCTGGACACATCTACCAACTCCACCATTGTAATGACGGAATGGCACACACTGCTTCTGTAAAGTGACATCCTTCAGATACTTGGTGGCTTTTCAGCTATGCATACCCTTGATGGCCTGGGAAGTTTCACAAGTGTTCTTAAAGTGAACATGAAGATTTGAACTTCTTGATTTGCGTGACTTTCTGGGGTTCAGGCTGCTTATGAGAAGAGGAAGCTAAAGGAACATTACTAACATGTTAATAAATCAGAGATTAGACAAAGTACAAGGAACAGGGAGTATTTTCCTCCAGGACGTGAAACCTAGAGATAGTTCAACAAGGAGACTTTGAATCAAGATGCACACACTGGGAACCAGCAGTTAGCGTAATGGCTATGTCACTGGACTCCCCTGTAGTCGACCGCGGTTCGTGTCCTGGACCCGGTGGCTTAGAACTCACGCCGGGCATGTATGCGTGCGTGCCCAAGATCCCGAGAAGAGAATGGAAGAGAAGGGATTGTGGTGTGGCCACCCCCCTGGGGAGGGGACTTCTCCCTTTCTGTCTCTTTGTCTTTCTGGCGAGCGCACACGCCCTACGGCAAAAAAATTCTCAAAAAATAAACATTTGATTACCTTCAAATACTTCTTGTTCCTTTTCTTTTTTAAAATTTCTTTTTTATTTTATTTACATATGTATTTTAAAAGTTTATTTGTTTACTTATTCCATGAGTAAGAGAGAGAGAGTGAACCAACAGGGTCTTAACACCACAATTCCCCCCTCACCTTCTGCCAGCACTGGATCATGGACAAGTGTGTGCCGGGAGTACTCAGAAAGGTCTCCTGCCTTGAATCTGGAACCTTCCCATATGGGATTGCTTCACAGAGCACCATGATCTCCTGCCGTGCCATCATCTGGCCCCTTTCTTGCTCCTTTTTGATCCATTTCTTCCTCCTCTAAGCAAACTTGGTCTGCATTCCATTCCTACGGATTGATTGTATTTTCTGGAATTTATATAAATGGAGTCACAAGGTATGTCCTCTTTTGTCTTACACTCTTTTTTTTTTCCCCCAAGAGATTTTGGTATTGGACTCACATCCTCACTGGCAAGACAAATACAGAGAGATAGAAAGTGATTAATTCCCCCCCGCCAGGGGGGATAGCCACGCTGAAATCCCTTCTTCTCCAGTCTCCTCTTGGGATTTTGTGCATGCATCTACACGCGCCTGGCATGAGTTTCAAGCTGCCAGGTCTGAGATTCGAATTGTAGTTAATCACGTGGGTGTCTAGTGCCTTAACCACTATGCCACCTGCTAATGCCTGTCTTAAGTCTTTTAAACACTCTAATTATTTTGAGATTCATCTATGTTTTTGCATATATCAATAAATTTTTCTTTTATATTGCCGAGTAGTGTTCCATTATATGAATATATCACAGATTGTTCATTAATTCACAAATTAATGGACATTTGAGATATTGGAAATAAAATGCAACTAACATTTGTGTAAAAGTCTTTTTTTCCCTAAAAGGAGTATTTAACTTTATTTACTTATTTTTAATTTGACAAGAGAGGGACAAAGTGTGTAAAGCGTGTATGCGAGAGAGAGAGGGAAAATGAGAAAGCAAGCTGCCACATCCGGGGCTCGAACTGTGGTTGCCCATACGGGAGTCTAGCACCTTCAACCACCATGCCACCTGCGAGTCCTGATGTGAAAAAGTCTTTATGTGTATATATGCATTCACTTCTCTTGGATAAATACCTAAGGTTGGAATGGTTGGGTCATAAGCTAGATATATGTATAACTTTTTTTTTTTTTTTTGGAGAGTTTTTTGCTATAGGGCGCGTGCGCTCGCCAGAAAGGCAGAGAGACACAGAGAGACAGAAAGCAAGAAATCATCAGCCGGGGGGATGGCCACGCCACAATCCCTTCTCCTCCATTGTCCTCTTGGGATCTTGGGCACACATGCACATGCGTCCAGTCTGAGTTTAAGTCACCGGGTCCAGGGCTCAAACCGCGGTTGACACCATGGGAATCCAGTGACATGGCCATTACTAACTGCTGGTCCCATGTATAACTTTTTAAAAAGATTTTTGCCATATGATGTGTGTATTTGCCAGAGAAACAGAGAGAGTGAAAGTGATAAATCACCCCTTCCCTCCCAGGGAAGATGGTCATACTACAATCCCTTCTCCTCTATTCTCTTGGGATTTGGGGTATGCACACACACATATCCAGTGTGATTTTCAAGCTGCCGGGTCCAGAACTCGAACCATGGTTGACCATGTGGGAATCCAGCATTTTAACCACCATGCCACCTGCTGGCCCTGGTATACATATAACTTTTAAAGAAACCTTTTTCAAAGTGGTTGTTTCTTTCTATATTTCTACCAACATTGTGTAATAGTTCCAATTGCTCTGCATCCTTGGAAAAGTTGGTATGATCAGTTTTTATACTTTAAGCTATTCCAGCGAGTGTATGTTTCATTGTGGTTCTAATTTGCATTTTCCCAATGACTAATGATATTGAACATCTTTTGCATACTTATTTGCTATCCATATATCCTCTTTTTAAAAGTGCTTATTCAAATATTTTGCCTGCTTTGGAGAGGGTTGTTTATCTTGTATTATTGAGTTGCAAGGGTTCTTAATATATTCTAGACACAAATTCTTTATTTTTAATTGTTGTTTTGTTTTGATTTAAAGAGATTTTTGCTATGGGGCATGTGCACTCACCATAGAGACAGGGAGAGACACGGAATGAAGGCAAGAAATTACCACCCCGTAGGAGATGGCCATGCTGCAATCCCTTCTCCTCCATTCTCCCCTTGGGATTTTGAGCATGCATGCACACGTGCTCAGTGTGAGTTGTAAGCCACCAGGTCCAGGACATGAACTGTGGTCGACTATGTGGGAGTCCAGCAACGTAACCATTACACCATCTGTTGGTCCCCAGACACAAATTCTTTATCAGATTCATATTCTGTGAATATTACCTCTCAGTCTGCAGCTTGATTTTTATTTTCTTCTTCTTCTTCTTTTTTTTTTTTTTAAAGCTTTTGCCATAGGGCCTGTGCACTTGCCAGAGATAGTGAGAAGGAAAGTGAGAAATCACCTTTCGGGGGGATGGCTATGCCACAGTTCCTTCTCCATTTTCCTCTTGAAATTTTGGGCATGCACATGTGTCTGGTATGATTTTCAAGGCTCCAGGTCTGGGACTGGAACCACATTAGCCTATGAGGGAGTCTAGTGCTTTAACCACCACACCACCTGCTGTCCCCCTTTATTGTTGAATTCTTAGCTGTGTATTTTTTTTTTTTTGAGAGGTTTTCGCTATAGGGCGCGTGCGCTCGCCAGACAGACAGAGAGAGACATAGAAACAGAAAGCGAGAAATCACCCCCCAGGGGGGATGGCCACGCCACAATCCCTTCTCCTCCATTCTCCTCTTGGGATCTTGGGCACGCACACACACACGCCCGGCGTGAGTTCTAAGCCACTGGGTCCAGGACGCGAACCGCGGTCGACTACGTGGGAGTCCAGCAACATAGCCATTACGCTAACTGCTGGTTCCTTTAGCTGTGTATTTTAAAAGCAAAAATCTTTACTTTCAATAAAGACCAATTTATCAAAATTTTATCTTACAATTTATGCTTTGTCCCTTACCTATGAAATAGTTGCCTACATAGGCTTGCTATGATTTTTCTCTTGTTTCCTCTGAAAAGCTTTATAGTTTTCACTCTTACATTAAGTATATGGTTAATTTCCAGTGAATTTTCATTTATGATGTTAGATAAATGTTCATTATTTCCTGTTGTTTTACCTTGTTTTGTTGCATATGACAATCCCATTGTTTTAAAAAGCATCATTAATTGAAGAGATTATCTATTCCCCCCCTGGAATGGTCTTGGCACATTTGTCAGATCAGTTGACCATAATTGTCCTAATTGACCTTATCTTTGTTCTGTCCCATTGATCTGTATGTTTAGCTTTCGTCTACCTCACTATCTTTTTCATAGCAAATTAATTTATTCACTATTTTTTCCATTCCATATCGTCAGGAAGATTGATTTCAACTTTCCTTTTACCTACATCAGACAATTGGTACTCAACAACTGTACTACCAGTCTCCATAAATGGTTTGTTCATGGCATGTTTCACTTCGTCAGAATCGTCTGAAGAGATCTTCTGCAATAATTTGTTTAAAGCTGCATCTCCCTCCAACTTCTCACCCTCTTCTTCTTTGATCTTGCCTA